GGGGGGGGAGGAGGCGTGCTACATTTTCCTACAAATCGCTTTGTTTCCATCCAGGTGGAAGATGGAAAGAAAAAGAAGGGGACAGAGAGCAGCGGGGAAACCCCCACTTTGGGGTCACAACTGAAGGAGAAAGAGGGACCCTCGGCCAATGCTCCCTCTCCTTATTCCAGGCAGCCACGAAAGGATCAAACGAAGAAGAAGGAGGAGGGAGGAAGGAGGGACCGGGGCTCACCTCCTGGGGGTCCACGGTGCAGTAGTGGTACAGGTACTGGTTGAGGTAGGCACCGCCGGTGGCATACATCTGGTTGCACATGGTCAACATGGGGCTGTAGGAGTAGCTGCCCGACATCTGGGCCTGTGGGTTGACGCCCATGATGTAGACGATGGAGGCGATGAGCATGAGGAAGGCCATGATGGCGCAGAGCACGATCACCACCAGGTAGAACTTGCGAGACCGCGACCCGCTGCCCTTGGTGAGGCTGACCACAAAAAGCCCCAGCAGCGCCAGGAAGCACAGCACCGACATGGCCATCATGAACCCATTGGCCGCCCGCGGGTTTGTTACCCCGCCGTAGTAGCTCCCGTAGCCGCCGTAGCCCCCGCCGTAGCCCATTGCCCCACCGTAGTAGCCCGTCCCGCCGTAGTAGCCGCCCATCCCGCTGCCGTACAAGCCGCTGTAGCCCAGGCCGTACTCCCAGGCCAGGGTGGAGGCCACGCAGGCGAAGATGGCGATGCAGAGCAGGATGGCCACGGCCTCCAGTATCCGCACCACGCCGGGGGGCGAGCTCCACTTGTAGAAGTGCTGGGGCACGTCCTCAATGTAGTAGGAGCCGGGGGGCGGCGACTGGGCATCGTAGCCGTACTCATCGCCCGGGGGGCCGTAGCTGATGGGCGCGCCGTCGTAGGACTTCTTGCTGTACATGGCGTAGCACGCGGCAGGCACTCAGCGCCGGGGACCAGGGATGCGGGCGATGCCAAGCCTAGGTGGAAGCACAAAGAGGCAGTGAGGCCGGCGCCTCGCCCTGCCCTGATCTCCAGGGAGGTCTGGGGCACGTCGCCCCGGAAGGTCCCAGCCACAGAGAGGAGGCACGAGGCAGTCCTCCCCGGGGAACCGGGAAACAATCACAGCGGTATCGACAGGCGCTGCCGCAGGGGCCTCGGCATGGGAGGCACTTTCGCCTTGCGCAAGCTCAGCCCACGGGAACACGGAGGTGGTTTCCCGTGTTGGTTAAGGACACCGTGAGGTGCCGTGCCCGCCTGAGCTGCCCAGGTCAAGGTGCGTGCCCGCTGGAGGGACTCTGTCCCCACGCCGCGCCCCATCGGCGCTATCGATAATCCTTCGCTTGCTCTCACCCGGTGCTCCCTGAAGAGAGATCACTCTCCCCACAATCTGCCAATGGGGAAACTGAGGCACGGAGCAGGGCAGAGCCAAACCAGACCCAGAAGCTTGGAGGGCCGGGTCCCCAGCCACCCCCAGCAGCACCAACCTCCCCCAGGAACAAACCTGAACAACAGACAAGGAGGAGGAATCAAGACAGCCTCAACGCGCGCCTGCGCCCCCCGCGCGTCCTTGCTGCAGCCTCGTCAGGTTTCAAATCCTGCCAACGGGAAGACCCCGACTGTTTTATTCCAATTAAAAATCTCACGCTGGGACAGATCAGCCGGTACATCTGGCCGGGAGGGGTCTGTCTTGTTTTACGGTTGAACCCCCAGTGGAAGTTTTCATGTACGCGGCATCAGAGACAAACGGGGGGTGGGCACATCCACCCCGACCCCTTGTCTGAGGCCGGACCGTCCCCATCCAAACCACCCAGACTCGTCCTTGTCTGACCTAGTCCTGACACTACAGTACAGGCCTGCGCTCAGCGACCAGGCGCAGTGCCCAAACTGCCCCCTCGAGCGCCCGAACCGCTTCTGAAGTTGGAAGAAAAGCAGCAAGCAAGGAAGAGGGCTTGCAAAAACCCCACTAAATTGCTGAAAATCAGATGAGGAGGAAGGAGTAAAAGGACGACAGGGCTGAGTCCCGGAGTGTTGTTGCTGCTGGCCCCGGCTCTGTGCGCAAGCCAGCAGGCAGGGGAACGTGCTCACGTCTGCTCCCTCTGCCAACTCCTAGGGGTAGGGGTCCAAAACATGGACCCACCCCCACTGGGCACTGCCGGGCACCCTCGGTGCCGCATCAGCTGGGCCCGCAAGAGGCTCCTGGCTCCTACCCCTAATCCCAGCCCTGACCCCGCGGAGACCCTCACCCACTTCCACGGTGCCGGGGTCCCCTGTAGCTGCAGCCGCTGGAGCAGGAACGGGGCTTGGGCCTGCGGGAGGAGGCTGCCCCACACTCCTGCCCTGGCCCCCACCTTGGTGGCTGCAAAGCTGCCTCCCTCCTCCTCCTCCTCCCCTTCCCGTCCCAGCCCTGGCTGCCTGCCCATTCCCTCCCTCGCCAGGACAGAAAAACACAAGCAGGTCGCACCCATCTCCAAGCCCTCGACTTCCCCCAGCCGGTTCCCTGCTGACCTCCCTCCCTGCATGAGGCTTTGGGGAGGTTTCCACGCAACCCTCCAATTCAGCAAAAACACGACTTTTCCCAGCACAACACCCTGGTTTGGGTTCAGCTCTCTCAGGAAGTGCTCCTGGGCTCGGAGGGGGAGGGAGGGGGGATTTCTGGGCACGGAGGCCCAGGCGAGACAGGCAGTGGCTTGGTGCCTGCCGGGCACATCGCGACACAACAGAAACCCACATTTGAGCCCTTGCCCCCAATCCGCCCGAGCGGGAGCTGGACCTGTGCCTGCCCTAGCCCCGGCGTGGGCCCCGCACCCCGGCGCAGGGGCTGTTCTGGGGCACGTGCCCCCTTGCTAGGGGTCTGGAAACACAAGCCCTCTGCAGGCTGCCCATCTGGTTTCAAAACCAAAGTGCAAAACCTTCAACCTTTCTCCTTTCTTTCTAGGAAGCAGAATCCTGCTTTTCCAGCCTCAGCCCCGGCACCAGGGGCTGCAGAGACACGCGGAGGGAGACCGGCCCTGCTCCGAGTCGGGGTCGGCTGAGGGCAGAGATGAAGGGTGTGCAGCCGGGATCCCGGGAGTCCCGACTCCCAGAGCAGCATCGCCGTGCCAGTCCCAGAGCCCACCACCCTGCCCTACGGCAGGGAGTCCAGACCCCGACCCATCCGCCAGCTGGACGCGGGCGAGGGGAGAGAGGGCAGCAGCGCCAGGGAGCCCCGAGCAGACCCCACAGTGCCAGGGCTGGCTCAGCAGGGCATACTGGGGGGCACTGTTGCCTGGCACGGGTAGTTCACCCCCGAGACGCCCCCAAGGGACTTGGAACGGGGTGACCCGTCAGCCGGAGCCCGGGCTTCCGGGGGGCTCTCCCAGCCGCCC